TTACTAGCTACAGAAAATGGACAGCAGAATCCGAGTTCCCACTGAGTCCAGGGTAGATTGCAAGAGTGTTGGGATTTCCCTAATTCTTCTTATTTATTTAACATTTGAATGACTTATTTAAAATCAAAAGGAGCAGACTTGGTGTCTAAAAGAAAATTCACCCTCTGGTACTTGACTTTGTTCTCAAAAAACCAACCAACCAACCAAAATGATGAAAACCATGGCTTTCCAAACAGCTCTGCTGCACTGGTCATCAAAGTTCACTATCCCCAAAAGGTTAAATGGCTTTTAGCTCATGAACATCAGCATTTCTGAGAAGTAATTCCATTCCAGTTTTATCTTTTAACTAGTTAATTAATGGAGGAGAAAATGAGAAGTAAAATATTGAAGTCCCACCAATGAATATTTCTTAAAAACAATTCATATAAATAGGAAAGAGCAGGAAAGAGCACGGTAGAGAATCTTGACACAAAACAGTACTAAGGAGCAAAGAAGGTGGTAATTTAGATATTTAAATATTTAAAGCTATGGATAATTATTTGGAGTTATTTATATTTGCTTTTACAACATTAAATACTTTCTTAACTAGCAAGTAGTATTAAATGTTAAATCAAGATCACATGGTTTATTCAGGCTCTGGAAACATTCATACATCTCCAAAACAAATTCATGTAGGGCTTGGTCTATGATGATAACTGTGAGAGCTAGTTTATTTTTATAGACTGTTGCTAAAGCACTAGTGGACTAAAAATAAGTTCTGTCAAACAATGATACTGTATTCTCAATCTATAACAAACAAATACTTTCCATAGATCATCCAAATCAGGAGAGTGAAAATGAACTGTTACTTTTGAGAAATAATAAGGACTTGGTTAAGATAAGATTCAGAAATGTCTAGAGCTGTTAAGACACTGGTGCTGGGGGGTAAGACATGAATGTTTTAACAGCCTTTGTTTCAAATGATATATAGCATATATGTAATGTTCACTAGTTTATAAATTTCTAGATTGGCTGTAGGTTTTTTTTGTAGTAACCTTTGAGAGACTGTGTGACTGAACAAATCCCTTTCACCTGCTCTGCCCTCCTGAAGCTCAGCATATACGCCCATTGTTGCTAAGTTAGCCGCTCTTGGGATATCAAGCACAACCCTACAATGATCTCTATTCAAGGGTCTCTACTTACATCTTAAATTCACTCTGACTTGTGATTTAACATTACAGAAGCAAAGCCTCCTTTGTGAACTTTTCTTCAGTGTGGCCAGTTTCACTATTTAAATTTTTATAGTCATTTTTCTAGAAAGTTTTCTTTGTGCAGTTTTACCAGATTACATGTAAGCACGTGAAATCCTGCATCTTAGCTGCGTTACATCTTTCTTACACTTTCAACTATATATTTTTGTGGAGTTGAGCTTTCCTCTCTTGGTGTGAAGACTGATATTGCAGCCTACTGGTATAGGTATATTTTTAGATCTTGTTTTGTATTAATTTATACCAGTCTTGTGTCCTCTCAAATAAGAATTTCCACCAGACTTCTAGATACTATGGAACTTCTCAGACACAGTACCACTCCACTGGGTCTCGATTGCCTGGAGAGTTTTTAGCAGGGTATAAAGCAACAGTATCATCATCTTTTCAATCCACTACATTTCTCTAGTTTTGAATTTGTTCTCTCCCACTGCAGGGGCAAATTTTGTTTGTTTTGGGGTTCCACAACAAAACACTTTACACTTATTCATAGACATGCATGAGATATTTTCATTTAACACCTTTATCTAGCACTGTGATGATTTTACTTGTGTTCTTACTTTCTCCCACAGGGATAATTTGCATCCTATTCTTTACTGGAAATGGAGATATCTGTTGTACCTGTCTTCAAAAGATGCCCCTGTTCAAGTTTGTGTATTTCTCAGCTCCTGACAGTTTTTTTTACCAGACTTAGTTAAACTTTTTTATTCATTTTGTATGTTAACGTTCCCACTACACTTTTGAAGATAGGACAGCAGCCCCCAGGTGTAGACACTGCTTTCCCCAAAAGAATCCACAGTGACTAATGAACTTGAATTTGCCTTTCAGAGGTGCTGGAATCCTTTGTTTCTAACTGCCTTAGTACAGTAATGGCATAGGAGAAAAAAACCAACCCAACAGACAGACATGAATTCTATGGCAAAAGACAACTGAAAATGCAAATATATTATAAATACAATTTTAAATTTGTTCTCAAGTGTAAGTGATGATCAAAGCAAAAAACCAATTAAGAATTATATATATGGAACACTCGTAAGTCTATTACGACTTGAATGACCCTGAGGGCCCATACCTATTTTCATACGGCTTTACTAACACACAAAAGCATGGTGTATGTAATATGCAGCATAATGGATTATGTATACTGTGTAGATTTGCTGAAGTCCTTACAGTTCAAGTGAGATAGGTCAGTTTCTCAGCTGTTCCTAACCATATTACCAGCCAAATAAACCATTTGTGACCACTTCACATCCATGGTCCATAAAACCCTTGTAGCCATTGCTTTTCTTCCTCCTCCCTTGAAAACAAACAGAACTGAAATTCTCTGGGTGCTAACACTGAGTGTATTAGAAATTGCAGAAACAGAGACATATCTGCAGCTAAAGATGCAATAAAGATGAATGAAGACAAACTATTCATTGAAAAGCTAGGAAAAACAAAAGTTATTTTAAACAGTTACTATGTACAACATGCAGTTTATCAAGAGATAAAGAGATTAGACAGATTCCCACTTTGTACTGAGCCCTGTAGCATATGATGAGCATGTATTGTTAAAAGGCACTTAAAGGCAACCAGATAGACTTAAAGATTAGATATTCTGAAATGAAGAACGTCCTGTGCCTTGCAGTCACTAGTTCCAGGCAGCATGCACCACACTAGGAAATTCAGAAACACAAATAAGTCCCTGAATGTATTTTACCTCTATAAAACAAACAGTTCTTTCAAATTAACTAAAGTGGTTATAAATCCAATATGGAAGACCATTCTTATTAGGAGATCTTAAAAGCAAGATCTTATTTTGGCAGCAGCAGTGAAGACAAAGGGCACAGGCAAGCCTTGGAAAAACTGCCTCAGCTAAGACTGCCGAGCACTTCCTACTGCAACACTTCAGTTCTTATAACTTTACCAAGCTATAATTGTTCATACTAAAATTTTCCACGCTGGATTTTTGCCAATTTTGAGAGAACTTTTTCAGAGTTTTTTTAGTATCTTCCAAGAAAGAGGCTAGGGAAAACATATACTGCTCTTTACAGATTAATGAATTCCACTGACCTTTCCAACAGCTTGAAAGCACTAACACTTCAGAACTGGTGGGTCACCGAGTACATCTTTCTGCCAACCCTGGGAAAACCCTCCAGAACTTGGCCAAGTACAAGTGTTTGTAGATACTGCTAATGTACATATTCAGCAGAAATCTAGGTTTTAGCAATTCATTGATCCCTATCCAAACACTATGCATAAGACAGGGAAACCACGCATTGGGATCATAAATAACTAGAGGCAGATTGAAAGTGAGACACACAGATGAAGGGCTGACATGAAAGCAGAATCGGTAAGTGCCACCTGGGCACAGAAACTGGGATAAAGGGCAGTAAAGGGCAAAGGTTGGCTGGTAAAGAGAAGGGGTGGAGAAGCAACAGCAGAGTTCACCTCGGAGAAAATACAGGGGGGCAACAAGCCAAGTCTGCACATTTTCCTTAGGAACTGGAATAAAACCCAAAATTGCTGTCTAGCAGATAAATAGTGAGACTCAATATCTGCAGAACCATAAGTAATACATCCTATTTCCCTGTGGACCATAGAGAAGATAACTACATACTACCCTGCTAAAATAAAACTCCTAATTCAAACTACAGAGGTCTGTTGGATTGGAAGTTATCCATCCTGATAAAGAACAACATCTGGTTTTTTCCAACATATTTTTTAAAAAAAACCTTAAGAATTTACAAGTAATAAAACAAAGTTAAAGAAAAATCAAAGACTGCAAAACCAAGTGCTGAAAGTCTGTGCAACTTTCATTAGGTTTTTCTCTGCATATATTTTATGAGGAGTTTTTGAAGACAGAATCAAATGCTACAACTTTCATGAAATCCCTGGTTTTTTCCCAGCAAACAGTGCTCTGAAAGTCAATTAGTGCAGCAAACAAAAAGGAAATGCTTTCTGCAGACCTTTGTTGCAGAACTTAGAAGCTGCTCAATGGAAGAGGCAGGAGCTGAAGAATAAAATGATCCTATAGATAAATGATGCAGATAAATGCTGCACTTCAGAACTAGTTTTATCCCTGCTACAGATACAATCCTTTGGAGATGACACAAAATTTGGGTAACTGTTTTAAGACCACAGAATACTGCCAATCTGCAAAAACACTTTGCAGGTGAACTAGGGATATTTTCAGAATGCAAAGGGCTATTAGAGATGGTAAAATGAGAAAAGGAACTAATAAGGTTAGTGCATCCAAATGAGTGCCAAAAATGGGTGGCTACATTAGTCTTCTTTCTATGACTCAGGTCATCCAAATAGAAAATACCATTATCTTCTCAGTCTGTTGTGAAATTTAATTATTTTTAAAGAACTGAATCAAAAATTGACATTTTTAAAATGTTAACAGTCCATGTCTTAAAATTAACTCGATACAGTTTGTGGTCATCCTCTTTTAATGCCTATACCTACACCTATGGAGTTCCAGCAGAGCAAGCAACTGACAAAGCTGGAATAAACTAGAGGCAGTTGGGGCAACACCAGGAACCTAGCGGTTCAGGGCACACAGCTGTCACTCTTGTATCTTTTCTAAACAAAGATTTTTATCCCTTGAAGTTGTATCATGACCCAAGTGCATCTCATAGTCTTCTGTCACCTCTCTACTCTCTTACTCCTTTACAGGTAAAGGCAAAACCCCAATCCAATCAAGAACCAAGAACAAGTTTGTAGTATTCAGTAGACAAAACCACATAGGACTAATATTCAGCTAGTCCTTACCTCATTCGGTGGAACAGTAGCAAAAGGCTGGATGACAGCTGCCAGTGGAATGCGAGCCTGTTTGGCCATATCTGAAGATGATGGGAAGCAGTAGGTAGTACATCGGATATAACGAGGGCTGGCATGGCCTAAAACACCCAACATAGCATGCAGAATGAAAGACTGTTAAAAGCAACCCACCTGTCCCAAACACAAACCAGAAAAATCAAAACAACATAAAGCAACAAGTGCATATGCCAAGTTAAACACGTTGCTTCTTTTCCTCCTATGCAAACTTCTGCCCATCTCTCCTCTTTGTCAGCTCATTGCCCCTCCCTGTGGGTAAACCTTTCCTTGCTGTTTGACTTTAAAGCAGAGATTTAAACATATCAAGAAAAACACCACAATTATTTGCAATAAGAATCTCAATAGAGATTAGTTTGAAACATACAGTTTCTAAGACCATAAAATAAAATAATATAGATGAAATCCCCAGTGGAAATGTCAATGCTGTATATAATGAAATGCTGCAGACTGATACCTACTGTTATGACCACCCTAATGAGCCAGCTCTGATTCAGAAACTAGTACACCTGTGTTTAATCACCATGTTCATTTAGCTTGCAAAACAGTGCGCTAAAATCACCACACCACTTCTTGGAGCACACTTAGCTCAGTTCCCTCAATGCAAAATTGCTGTGCGCTGCAGATGAGCACTGAAAGACAACAGGAGTTCAGAAATTGGCTTACTTATGCTCCTTTTTTAACCACCAAGCTGCACTTATGCTCAGTTTCCTGAAAGGAATTTCTTTGTTCATCAGAACTGCATTACTCCTTTCTCAGATAATGCCAAAAAGTCTTGATATGCTTGTATATTTTATATAGTTTATCCAAGCACTGCTAAGTGAATGCTGGACTCAATACCATCAATTTAATCTGTATTAAAATACCAAGTTTGCTGTCAAGAGCAGCACATGGAATATTGTACTTTCAGGCTCTAGGCAGAGGCAAAGACAGATACACTGGCCAAAGGAAAAAAATTAAGTAGACAGCTTGTATGCTGCCCCTATTGCTTGAATAGAATTTTCCAAAATTCATATCTTAAAACATAACAGTGTTAGTCTCATTGCTTCTTCTAGCAATTTTAAATTGCTTTAAAATTTCAGAAGAATCCAAAACGTTCAATTGAAATTTAAAACATCGAAAAAATTTAAGTTAAAAGTTGTCTCAACAATCCATATTAATTTTAAGGTCAGGAAGGGTATAGGAGGTGCTAACCCAAAGTATAAAAATTTAACTCTCACTTCTCCCCGCAACCTCCCTTTTTTTTTTTTCTTTAAAGAGAGTTTCCTATTTCATGTCCAATTTAGAGTAAGTAAGGAGCATCATTTTCAGATGAGAAATTTGAGGATTTAGTCTTTTTCTTTTTTTTTTTTTTTCTATTTCATGTAGAAAGACTCCCAAATCAGTAAGAAGGACAGTTACCTTGGTCTTGGATTACGCAGTCTGTGGTAACAAGAGGAGGAACCTGTCCTCTTGTGTTTGTAGCGTAGATCTGCCCTCCCCTAGAAGCCTTATCATTTTCAATTACTTGAATCTGATGAATAAGAAGCAAGAACAGTATGAGAAAGGTAAGCCATGCATTTAATTACATTCACAGTTATGCTAAGATCCACATCAAGTAACACTATTGACATTATCTTACACAGAGGTGCTATAAACCCATCGTAATCATAGAATCATAGAATTGTCTAGGTTGGAAGAGACCCTTGGGATCATCGAGTCCAACCATCTACCCTACTCTACAAAGTCATCCCCTACACCATGCCCCTTAGTAATACAGGCTTCTGAGACACAACTAGAAAAACTATACACACAGCTGAACAGTATAACTCATTTACAACTGCAGCTGACTGTTGGAACTCAGGGGTAACACTACATGTCAGGGTGGATAAGACCTATATACAGTAAACAAATCAGTTTTTAGAGTAAGTATTTTGACAGCTAGGAGGACAGACCTTTTCAAGAGAGGCTAGCCAGGAGAGCGGGTGCTGTAATAAAGCCTTTGTTAGTGATTTTGGCCTTCCATTCTCCCAGATAAAAACTGAAGTGCAAGATTGCATCACCTTACTCAGATGCCACATAACGCAAATTATCTTTTGTATAACCATAGTTATACATAGTTCTTCATAAATGAACGTACAGGTAATTGATCAGATTGCAACAGTTGGAGGGGTTAGCCCTCATTCCTCCCAACTAGGCTCCACGCACAGGGTAGCCAAGAAATAAACAATAACCTACATAATATATGATCTTGCTAGCTGAGCTATATTTCAGAACTGCCATTTAGAAAGCAGCAATTTAAACTCCTAAGAAAATGGCCTCCTTGCTGGCCATTAGGTAGTATCTCAGCATTGGAGCTCAGCGTTCTCATTCTTTAGGTCAGACTACCATGTTGTGAGCTTCCTCCTAGAACGAAAGTAAAGGAGAGCAGTCACAGAAAACTTTTATTAAAGTGAGGTAGCTCTGATCATGCACAGATTTACCGTGGTTGAAGCCTAGTTTATAGCAATTTACAGTGTAATGTCAAGAAATGCTCATGAAGCTGGCTTTACTACTAAACAAATTCCTCTCCCTTGCACTTCCTCCCCTGCCATTTCTGCACAGTCCCTCATCACTGTTTAAGTTTGATACTTTTCAGGATATAAATGAAGTTATTTAAAGCTGTATTTTGTTTCACTCCATAAACCAGATCATTGAGATGATACCATTACTCCTCCTCTTCCCTCAAAAAAGGTATCTTTTCAGGAATCTGGTTTAGAGTGTAGCTGAACAGCTGTGAGACGCAAAAGGAATGAGACAATGAATTTCTGAAACTGGCTTTGCCACTGCTGCTAGTATCACATGGAACTGTAGCTTTACACTGCACATGAATTTCTAATAATAGCTAGGGAAGTTCAGAAGCCTCTGTCGGAAAGCAAACAGAGACAAAAAACAAAATTAGTTACATAGAGTCTATTGATCATTGTCCAAGAGGTATTTCCTAACACACTGGAAATAATCTGAAGCCTGTAACTTTTATTTTTCTCAATAAATTTTTTGTATTGCAATTTAAATATACAATACATTCCTCAGAGAGCTTGTTATATCTTCTGCTTGATTACTTTTCCCTGCCTCCTTGGCTTGTACGCTTATTGCTAACTCTTGTATTAGAAGGAAAAAGGTTTTGCTATAAAAAGGTCCACTGGATGAAGAAAGCAAACCACTTTCAGACTTAGCTCTGCAAAGGATCAATGCGCCATGGCATTCTGCAGTTAACTGACCTAAATATATCATTGTTCGTGGAAATAATTGTTGACAAAGCCCAGATGCTAGTTTTCATAGAAGTTGTCAGAGCACGTATCAACCTCTAACATATGTAAGAAAATATAAATCAACAACGGCTACAGATAAGAAGTAAATTTATCTGGCAACACTACTGTAATTATATAATGTAAATATAACAAGAGAAATACACATGGTCATACTTATTCCTCATTCTGATTTAGCTTTTTGCCCTTTACAGACGTTGACCCAGATCATGTTTCTTTTAAACATGTCATTTTGATCCTCTCTGTGCTGCTTAAACAAACCTTTTAACCTATTTTAACATCGCTGTCATAGTCAAGGCTGTTTATTCTACATGTGTAATTGAAACAAGACATCAGTCCATGCTTTCATGCCAGACCTCCTTCTCCACCTTCACTTTTTCCGTTTTTTTTTTTAATTAGACAAGACTATTTTGTCCATCTTATGTAAAAAGCACCATACTGAAACACTATGAACGATTGATCAATTAAAGGAATTTGTTAATTAGGCACTCCAGGTTTTTTCACTAGGGTTTTCAGTTATATTTAACTTGAAAACTGCTTTTAAGCGGAGGCAATTGCAATACATTAACCTCTAAGTGACTATCAACAAGCATTTTTTGAAAATTTTGTGGATTTTACATCAAAACCATCACTGGATAAAACCAATTAGTATTTTCTATAAAGGCAAAAGAATAGCCCAATTTAAGGAAGCAGGGCTGTTCTCTACTAGACAGTGTCAGGTTTTACACAAATGCTTTTCCCTCATCTCAGTGAAACACAGATTCTTTCCCGTACAGCAATACTGCCTCAGCAGAGAAGCGGAAGAGTCCTTCACCCAGGCTAGCTTACAGTGTGTGGTTAATACATTTTTTTTAAGTAGAAAGTCCTAGGTCAAAGCTGCAGGATGCAGCCTGCTTCAAGAATCCCGATTCTCCAAGGACCTTTTGACCTGTTCATATGATTGCCAGAACCAGTATAAGTGTGTGCATCAGAATGTCTTTTCCCCATGAGCTCAGCACATTTTCTCCCTCTATTTCAATCAGCTCTTCTCAATAAAGAAGTTAAATGCAACCTGCATCTGACTAGCTATTCCTTTGGGAAACAATTAACCTGCTTTAATAAAGAAAGATGGACACAACCATAACCTTGTTTTCTCTAACACCTTTCTAAGAAGAGGAGACACTGTCCCACCAGTGCATGTTTGGGTGTGCTTCAACAGCTGAGCCTTTTCAACTTGTATGAAGCTTATTAAGTATAATATTTAAGTATATTCCAAGCTACTGAAATCTTCACAAGCCTGCAGCAACTGGAGGGGTGCTCAGGTAAAAAATTCTAGTTGCCTGGGAAACTCCTGAAATCAAACAGTGAGGTAGCTTTTGAACATGGGACTTCTCAGCATTTCCAGGATTGCGGTTTTAGAGTCCATATACCTTTATTTTGCACAAATCCTACTTAGGCATCTATCTGTTGCTAAATTTAAGCCTTCACTTTCCAGAATGAAAAGGAAAGGTGATAAACTGCAGTGAACATAAGTAATCCTTCAGTACTGCTCACTGTCATACTAAGAATCCTGTTGAGAATTCCTATTAAAGCATTTGGAGTCATGGGTATTTCCCACGTTAGGTAAAATTATGAAGCCTCTTCAGTATTAAAATTTATGTTATGCACCAATTTATCCAAATCTGACAGCACAGAGTACAAAATTGTATGTAATTAAGAAACTGCAAAAACTGGAAGGTAACTTGTGAATCAAGCCATGTAAATGCAATTTTCTGTTACAAAAAAACCCCCACCAACTAAAATAAATACAATATTAGCACTGTCATTCCTTTACAACAGTAAATTTCTAGTGCATTTAAGATAAAAAAAATTAGTGCTACATCACTTACTGGGCTTGGAATAGAGTCAGGATCAAGTTTCTTCTGCTGCGGACCTGCGAGTTGTGCCGGACCCCCAGGAAAAGCACCAGGATAAGACAGCTGAGATCCTGCCATCTGAGGACCGTAGTTTGCTGTAGAGTTACAAATGACAATTCCTTTGAAGTATTTAAGTTGCTTTATCAATTTTTAGCATCAAATTTTGACATACAATTCATTCTTACTCAGCTAAATATAGCTTTTCCTTCCCTTCTGTTTTCATCAAGTAAAAGAGATGGATTACTTTAGTCCACACAGCCTGTGTTTTAAAGTTAAGCCAGGTGTGACAACTTTGGCTCCAAAGTTTTCAGGTATATGTCAAGTAGGACAGTTAGTAGAGATTACCACAACTACTCAAACTAGGCCATTACATCAGTGAGAATCTCTCCCCTAACATCAGTCAATGCAACTGATCCCATTAGCTGGGTTTCTAGTTGTCAAAATAACTGTTTTACTCACCTGTGTCAGGTGAAATAATTGTATTCAGTTACAATTCTTTACTGCTATAGTAAAGCATTTTTGAGTGCTGCTTATGACAGACAGCACTCTATACCTTTACAGAGTATAAGAAAAACTCCTCTCTCTATAATAACCAAATAATTCTATTCCTTATCCAAATTAATGTAATTTTTCTTGTTGCAGTCTCAACAGAGTGCTACACTTTTGAGCAAAAGCATAACCTGCCTTGAAGGTACTGACTGACAATGTCAACATTTCCATTCCACAAAAAGAGGATTAAATTTTCATTTTTCCAAGTTAGCAGAAAGAACATCAACCAGGAATGATTACAGTTCCACCATTGATTCTCCATGCATGTTTTGTTTTCAATTACTTAACCAAGATCCTTCCTTACCTGGCTGAGGATGATATCCAGGCCCTGGAGGCTGTCCTGAAAGTTGTTGCAAGTTAGAAGTCGGGGGGACAGGTCCAGGGATTCCATCTTGTCTGGCCATAGGAGGCAACGATGGTTGAGCACAAAGGCCATTCATGTTATTTGCTGGTGGAGGAACCTGTGATCCAGGTGGTAAAGTGATTTGCTGCTGGGTTGGTGGTGGTAGTTGTAGACCCTGAAAAGATGTTGGAGGCCCAGAAGACATGCGAGAGCTCGGAGTAGTGCCAGGACCTGAGCAAGAAATTATGTCAGTTGAGTCAAAAATGATAACCTAATAGGTATGTGGGAGGTTCTACTTCTGCTCAATACATTTACAACCTATTTGCAATATTGTATCCCATACTGACAATGCTGCATTAGGGGGATCCTGAATGCCTGCTCACATAACAAATCTGACCTCAAAATTTAAGTCTGAACTGATTCAGACATTAAATTTTATTTCTTTTGGCTCTATTTTCAATAAAACCCTGCAGCTGGGGTGGATGAGAAAAGAGAGAGGGAAGCCAACCTTTGACAATTCTTGATTAAAATACACATAAATCACTATTTGCTTTTGAAATAATATTTTATCTTATAATGTGAAACAACATTTTTTTTTTAATAACCAATTTCTCTTATGTGGTATGTTTTTGTTAGTCTGCTATTCGCATTTCACCATGATGGGTTTGACGGAAAATAAATCTACTAATTTTATCTGGTTTACAACCATCTTCTGTTTTTGATGCAAAAAGATGAATTGGCAATTACGTTGTACATACTAGTGGGGAACAGTTTGTTGTTTATAAGATCCAGATTCCAATTAGAATTAAGAGGACCCTTTGAGACTTATTACTTCACAAAACTTACATTTTTTTAGTCAAGCTTCTCCCCAAAGACAAAGCAAAATAATTTTCAAGAAAGTTAAAAAAATAACCAAAATTAGGTTTGAAGCAAAAGGACCAATGTGTTAATATACGATTATTGAAATGCATCTTCTGTTAGACACATTGAAAAAAAAAAATTCACATGCAAAACGGGAGCTCAGGTTCTCATCTGGTACAAACAAACATCACTCCAGTAGCTTTACAAGCTGTGAATTTCAGCACTCTGTCAAGCTACACCAACTTAGACTTACAGCTAAGGAAAGAAGAACAAAACACAACACAGAGGCAGAGTTGTAAAGAATCAGTGATCTGAAGGGTACCCCTGCCTTCCAATGTGTAACAAGATAAGGAAGATTATTTTTTACAGAATTATTGCTGAAGGCAATATAATGAAAGCAGGAAAGAAAGAAAAATTGCTCTAAATAATATGAGTTGCTATTCATTAAATGCTCTAGAGGGGCTGGGTCACACCTCATCCTGCATAAAAAGGTCTGAGTTAATTGTGCACTTGCAGTTCAGTATCTCAATGCTGAATTTGAGTCTAAATCAATTTTTCTAAGGTGAATAAGGTGTAAGTTTTCACAAGCAATTGTACAAACAGAGGGTCAGACCTATGGTAGTTATGCAGGTTTCATTCAAGTCAAATCAGCAAATCATAAAGCCAGTGTGGGAACAGTGATATCGTATCAGTGCAGCCTGAACTGTTTACACATCTTACAAAGATAACCACTAGAGTGATCCTCATTTTAAAAAATTCATCCTCCTAAACACACTGCCTCAGCAAAACAAGGTGCTAACTGAATTCCACTCCATTTAAATGAAATGGTAAATTTCCCCAGGAAATACTCAGGACACACAGATACAACAAACCAGAAAATCAGTGGTGAGAAGTAATTTACATGTAAGAATTGCATGATCACATCTTTAGCTCATGGCTCACGTTTGAGATGTTTTAACCTCAAAATAAACGGAAATAAAATTAAATGAAAAAATAAACTACAAGATTTGGACAAAAAAGAATAAGATAGTTTCAAAACAGAGAGAAACTCTAAAAAGGTGAGAAAAATGAAACCCTGTCTGCATATTATTGGCTAATGCCTTGGCTGTTACTGACAAGCAACAAGTAATCAACAAGTAATTTGAGAAGTGCCTGAGAAGATAGCTGGCTTTTACAGAAGCTTCATCAAACATCAATTCAGAATTATCCCAAGAATATTGATTTAAGGAATACGACAGAAAAAAAAATCTTACAACTTCGGCAAATGATAGTGGTCAAAGATCTCATTTTCTGTTTATATAGAAGTTTATAATAAGTTTCTAATTTTGATAGTCTTAATAGCTTTAACTGGGAAAAAGTTAATCAGATCAGCTTAAACTAATTACCATAGCTATTTATCTGCATGCTGCTGAGCTGGTTAGCAAGTTGTGCTGTAGATGAAGTGGGCGCAGTATTTGGGTAGGCTGGCTGTGACTGATGACTGTAGGGAGGATAGGAAGGTCCTGTACTGCTTGGAGGTGGAGGGCCTTGAAACCTATAGGGAAAAATTAGTGCAGTTATGCAAAAAATTACATCAACCAATCATAATTCTAGAAGGTCTCATACCTTTTCAAGGGTAGCACTGAAATAATTAATTAGGGCACACAAACTCTCTTAAGAGAGTTTGCTCACATTCTCTTAGAAAACGTATACTTGCATTAAAATAGTCATGAAGCAAAGAGAAAATGCTTAAAAAAAAAAAGTACATGCTTGCTTGCACTAAGAGAGTTTGCTCACATTCTCTTAGAAAACGTATACTTGCATTAAAATAGTCATGAAGCAAAGAGAAAATGCTTAAAAAAAGTACATGCTTGCTTGCATACTTGTTAGAAACAAGGAGAGAGTATGCCATGGCGAAGATAGGGTGGAAAAACTATATGAAAGTTTGAAGATTAAGAAAACACAGGCTTCTGAACACATTGCATCACTCTATCCTGTTTCCACACTTATAAAGGAAGGTTCCCGACTGGGGATGGGGGAAGAAGATTAGGAGAAAAATCTGTGAAGAGAGGAAAATGAAGTGAGAAACTATTAAGGAGTTTTCTGTAGGAAAAAAGAGGGAAAAAAAAAAAAAAAAGAGGAAAAAAGAAGCAGGTAGGGAAAAGTTGCTTCATGATTATAAGATACAGAAAAACATGAATGCAAGAAAAACAACTACAGAAAAGAAAGAGGTAACGTGTATTTTATAAAGACATTTTTTACCACACTATCTCACTCTGGAAAAACAAGACATCAGGCTATCTCCCAAAGATCTACACTGATTTTCCTAGGACCACTTCTAAAACTGAGGAGGGGCCTAGCTATATCAAGGGAAGTAGAATTCACTTTCCTTGGAATTTTGATGTGGAAACTTCCCAGCCTAGAAAAGCAGTTCTCAGTAATTTGGGAATAAAATAAGATCAGGTAAAAAACAGTAGAGATGCAGCTGTCAGGGCAATGACAGGAGGCTAGGAAAGAGAATCAGTGTTTTGCTGGGTTGGTCACGTCAACTTGAGTCTGTTCGCCTTGCTGCTGCATCTTCAGGACAACAACCACTTCTCCCTATGCATTAATACACTGTCTTTTACAATTGATTGCCAGTCTTTTTGGGTCCTCCCTTACATAGTGAAAACACACAGACAACAAACAGATTTACCTATTTTGATGCCTAATAAAATACATACATGACTTTATTTGAACACAAATAACTATGCAACAACTAAAAAGCATAGAAGCAGATTAAAACTAAAGAAGTAAAACAAGAATGTTTTTAAACAGTGTCAAACTCACCAAAACAGCTATAATTTCACCCCTCCTGGGAGGTGAGCAAAATAATTAACATTTGACAGAATAAAATAAAAGAGCAAAGCATATTTATCCACTTATAACTACCTGTAATATAACCACTGTGTAAAGCTTGGCTATCGCCTTGTATGATCATTTTTCTGAGATTTCTTTTACAGCTTCCACCTGTCCCTATTTTCACCCTCCCCTACTCCTGTCTCCTTCACTTCTTCCTGTGAGCTCTGGAGACAGGAAAATAGCACTTCAAATAAATTCTTCACAGTCAATCTCAGATCGAAGAAAAAGTGTAGCAGTCATTCATCTGAGGAGCGAGAGTAAGACTGTCTTATAAAATGTCTTTAAAGTATCCTATGGAGCCTTGGCTATGATCTCACAACAAGGAAGCAAAGACATCCTAACAAGGCGGAGACAGAAGTACAGAGACATGCACTAGCTTCTAGTCAAAACTTGCTCCCAACTATTAATTTTTAAAAAACAACTTCTTGGTACCTCACAACAAAGAAGAATTAAGACATCAGAAAGTAAACAAAAAAAAACCAATGTTAATTCTATATCAAACAGCACTTAAAACACCTTACTGATGCTTTGAAGAAATAATAATTACAAATAAAACAAACAATTCATGATAAAGACCCGACTTGCTGTAAAACGGAACTTAATGAGACTAAGAACGCACTGATCTGGCAGTTTAACACCACACAGGGAAATGAACTAAAATATCCAATTCAGAATTGGAGTAAGTCAGAAATGCTGAAGATAAAATGGATGCCATACTTAAATGTCAGTGAAGCAGCCAAAGAGAGGTAACAGAGGTCAAACAGATTAGATCTCATGTACTAATTCTTGTCACCTGTGTGGCTGTTGCCCTGGTGCACTGGGCCCATTTTGGAAGCTGTTCTGGTTGAATTGATGTGTACCAGGTGGTGGAGGCCCAACAGGAGCTGACGTTCCAAAAGGCACAGTTGATTTTGACACACCTGCAAAAAATGAAGTACTTCTATCTAAGAACCCTGTAAGAAAGCACAAGATCAGCAAGAAATACAAGTGTACACCCCTGCTCTAGCAATAAGAATACCGGCTCTAGGTTACCCTGCTTGAGCAGGGGAGTAGAACCAGATGACTTCCAGAGGTCCCCTCCACCCTCAGTCATTCTGTGATTTCATAAGCAAGGAAAGATTTTTCATCAGGTATAGAAGCACGTATGAAAAAGAACAGACAGTAAAAAGGAAGCAAATAGTAGCTGGTAACTTTCCAGAAAAAGAACTCAAGAGGAACAGTAAGAAAGAAGTAAGAATGAATAGATCCTGCAATTCAATTTGGGATACTGGCAATTCCCTATCACCTAGTTATCTTTATAGATAGAAGCAAGAGGTCCCTTTGATTTTAGAAAGAAACAGTCAGAAAGAAAACCTGGAACAACCTTTAAAAAAAAAAAAATAAAGGCATCCACATGTAGAACCTGCAAAGCTATGCTAAAAATGGTTCTTAATTCAGATCTAGAACAGTGACTGTGAAGAGACTGTAATTTATGTAAACAGCAGTGCTGAACAAACAGCTCTTCAACCTGTATTTCTTGAATTATTTTCCTTTAAATTACTCTAACATCAAAAGTTTGTTGGTACCAAAACTGGTATTTTTCATAAGTGTTCTAATAAGCCAATTACCAGAAGTAGTTCTATCTCCTGATTGTATTCAGCACTGGATTAAGGTAACACAACACCTGCTGTCTTTAAGAAGTTTTAGAGAAACTGGGTAACGCAATTTCTTTTTTCTGTTTTCATGATAATGCAAAAATCAAGGATATCCAGAATATTTAAAAAAACTCAATACACTCAGATGCTTAGTTCTGCCATTACTCTACTCCACCATCTCAAATACTAAGTTTAATGTAACTTATCATAATCTAAATGTTATTAAAAATTGTAACGAACACTTTTTTAAGACGCTTTACAGACTACTTCAGACATTTTTCCCTGTGAAATCAGGCAAAATATTGAGATGGTCTCTCTTCCTGTCCCCCTATTTTGGTCATGTATATTAGTAGACTTACAGAGGGAAGACGAAACCTTATTCTTTGGATATTTTCTGCAGCTCCAATTCACTAGTCTAGCATGCCCACTTTGACTCTACTGAAATTAGACCAGCATGACTTGCATACAGCCAAACTGCCTTAAATTCCATGGTCTCAAATGATTTATTATTATTTTTAGGCTTAAGACACCATATACTTATATAATATACTTCTTAAAAGATCTGAAGCCACTTATCAGTAAGTTCAAACTAATGAAAAGCAAAGGAGAGGCAAAGATGGTCATGTTTATCTGCTGCACGTCAATTACATTAGCTGTAGCTGATTATGCTGATAGAAATAAAGCAAATATCCCCCTTGCTTATACCCAAATGCCCTTCCTCATAGAAAGCAACTGTCTCCTGAGTGGTTAGAAAGCAGATAGGCTTGACTTACCACTCATTATCCAAATACACCACCCAGTAAGCAAGCTTAATCAGGAAAACACCAACTCATACTCATAGGCAAGTTTGTGCTCAGCAGGGGTCCTACTGTGAAGAATACAATCCATTTCTGAGAGCTTGCTTGCCATTAACATGAGTTGAGAAACAGTCCTCTATTCCCAGAAATCACCCCTTTCATATTTGTCTGTGTTAGGTATTACTCATAATACAGCATTAGCACTGATGCTTATTGCTTCCTGGACAATGGCATTGACTCAGGAAGGTCAGGTACCCATCTTGCATCAATGTCTGAGCATCAGCAGTAACACAAACAAAGCTAGTACAGGATCCTGTTGCAGTAGCAGTGTAAAACTGAGCATTTTGTGCTGACATTTGTAAGAAAGAGTAAAATGCCATCATAGAAAGACAGACTCTAAAAACACAATTTAAGCCAATTTCATACTTGGTGGAGGTGCTGAGTATGAGGAGTTAGGGTCCCCGTAATGCCCGTAATGAAGTGAAGAATTAGGTGGTCCAAAACCTGCAGAAAAGCCTCCTATTCCTGGCTGGGATTGGGAATACGGAGGAGCCGCAACATAGCCTTGTTGACTCATGATGGCAATATTCTCATTCCAAGTATCAGGTCCTCTTTAAGAATCTGCATAAGAGAAAGTGACAGCTGTTACTAATCTTCATTCTTTGTGTGTTTTAAAAGGTTGTGAACTGTGTTCCCAAAAAGCCACACCTGAGGGCAAAAAACAACCTTGTTGTCCTTGCCATTACCAGGCAACTTTTCCCTACACTCCCACATCTTGATTCTGTTGTTGTTAAAGAGGAGGGAACCCTCCCCCCCCCCAAAAAAAAAACCAACAAAAAAAACCCCAGAATTTGATTAAAAGCAATCCAGAAAAAGTTTTCTAATGATGATAGCATTCACAAGACAATTTCTTTCTTGCAGTCAGATTTTGTTGAGCAGGATAAAATAAATTTTTAGGAAACTTTCAGGAAAGAATATCCTGGTAATTGCAATCGTTTAAGATTAGAACTAGAAAAACCGAAGAATTCTGCATTACTAAACCAGATGATTCTATTTCATATGACTAGTTTTCAGATACAGTGCCCTTGTTACCATGAGATTTGAAAAGTTATTGAAGTTGTACGCTTGTAGCCTTGACAGCTAGCTTTCTTTTTCCATGTAAGAGATTTTTATTTTGACTGCATATTGAATTTAACAAAAACAGAATTCCACTAAGTTTCTTGATGCTTAAATGAAAACTGTTCTGAGAAATCCTGAAGATCCAAACCCTGAATGAGAGCCTACTAGTTCTGCAGAGTCCCAAGTACATAGGTCAGGCATCTCCAAAGAACTGAAGATTTAAACTAGCATTTCAGATGTTAAGTGTTCCCTTGAAATAGCTTTCAGTTAATTTCAATTCTTAGGCTTGAGCCATAGAGTGATCTTTGAGTATGCAAACTGGATGACAGTAAATCAGGAGTTGTGCTCCAGAAGGATGCACAAAGGCACCTCAAAATTATACACAGCTTCAAGATCACAACAGACAAATTCATGCTGCTCTGGCATATGTCAGTAGAGAAAAACTAACTCTATCAGAAAACCCATCTCTAGGCTTCTCATATGAAACATACATTTCTGAAAATAACCCACAAGCTTCCACATCAGACAAGAAATCACTCTGAGCTGGGTACAGGGCCTAGTCCTCCTCACACATTGCCCATGTAACCCTCTAAACCACACTCCTCGCTACGCCAGAAGATTTCTCAGTTGTGGCATTAAACAGTTTCAGATAGGTAATCTTCGGGAGTAGTCCTCTATTTCTTAGTTAACAAGGTAAACATGGGAAGAAAAAAAATAATATGTTTAAACAGAGGCTTTGTGCTGCCAGCTGTACTTTCTTCCCTCCCCTGCCCCCATCAGAAGAGACGTGGCAGCGTGAGTCTTCATTGCTCCAAAAGACAGTAAGTCAGCACTAAATTACCTACACACTGGCATAGACATAAATTTTACATATATATATATAAAGGAAGAGATTTTCACTTTGAGGCATCTGCAACAGCCAACACCTTTAGCTACGACAGCATCCAGGGGAAACTACTTCCTCCACAGCTTACTCACTCACACAAAATCTTGCCACGTCAAACTTCCCACAGACAGCATAAACACACAGAGGTTGTGCTGAAGAGAGACAGGAACTCTAACCATAAGCAAAATAATATATGTTTACCGAATATAGTTTCAGATCCTATTGAGCATATTTAATCCCTTCTCAAGTTACGTATATATACAACAGAAATGAAAAGTTTGGAGGCAGCACCCAAAAATATCAATAGGAACTGATCACCCAAGATTTTAGCGACTAGATTCTAACAACAGACATACAGATTACCTCTGGAAATTGCATCAGAAAGACCAGAAGAGCTACTAAACCCAGATCTTTCCCTATGTTTGTTTACTACAATGTCATTACAAAGAAGAACATGAAAATTTCCCCCCCTCCCCGGTCTCTCTTAACTCTAGTTTACCTCACATCCCGTATTCTGAGGAAAAACACTAACACAAGCACTTCTCCATGATTTAATTTACCACAATTACAGAACAGCTTGTCACCTTTTTTTCTTTCAGAGGACTGCTGTATCTATGCAAAGCTCTACTGCACCAATATCCCTATGAAGATGTAAAACTCCACTATGTGCATGAGGAAGTAGGATAACAGGATCAAAAATAGAGGATCACATTCTTGGCTAACTGCAGGAAAACTCTTAACCGTGTATTTCTTCAGAGACCCTGTGTGAGGTAATTTATCACCTCAGAAGAGCTGCTGTCCCTCCCCAAGGCACAATGCAGTCTCAATCTGGCAAACGATCTTTGGGGTGTGTGATGTACCTACACACACACACACAGAACAGAATATAGCTTTCTGATGGATACGTTACATTTTTTGTTGTGTTTTTTTTTTTTTTTCAATAGCACATTTTGGAAGAAGCTGTGAAAGCAGAAGCTTAAATCCACTCCAATTCAGTACAAAACCTGCAAACTGTTAACATGTCCAACCCCTTTCACTAAAAATTTTAAGTCGCTCGAACAGAGCAACAGGTCTCACCCCTCGGCCGGTGCTATCACTAACGGCGTGAGGCAGCACGCCGGCAGCCCCCGTGCCAGCCCCGGTGCCGGCTCCCCGGCTCGGTGCGGCTCCCCCGGCTCCCTTGCCCTCCCCGGCCGCCCCTCCGCCTGCCCCTGCCGGCTTCCCCCCGCCCGACCCCCGCGGCTGCTCACCCCGGCGCTGCCCGGCTGGCGGGGCCCG